CAGAGTCGAACACAGTTGAGTCTTCCTTTTGTAATCGCTTTACTTATGGTCCTAACAAGGGAGGATATCTCGAACCCCTTCAAATGAGGCATCCCTTTTTTTTTTGTTATTTTATTTATTTCTGAGAGAGACCAGCGTGAGCAGGGGAGGGGCAGAGAGAGAGGGAGGCACAGAATCTGAAAGAGGCTACAGGCTCTGAGCTGTCAGCACAGAGCCCGACGCGGGGCTCGAACCCATGAACCATGAGATCATGACCTGAGCTAAGTCGGATAAACCATGAGATCATGACCTGAGCTAAGTCGGATGCATAACCGGCTGAGCCACCCAGGCGCCCCAAATTAGGCATCTCTTGCAGTGTACAAGGAGCATTTGAATTACCAAAGGGGGACGGGGTGAGCCGCAAAATCCTACAGTTTTCGGTTCACCTGCAATAGTTTGAGGGCACTGAGAAGTCTCCATGTGAGCTTTCTGGTGAATTCTCCTTTACTAACAGTATTGGAACTCACCTGTTTCTTAGCCATTTACTCCTCCAGACATTCTTTCCCTTCTACTTTTACTGGAAAATTCCTCCCTCACCTCTTTTCAGGGCAAAATATCCAAAACTTTTGCAAGGGGCACATTGACTTCAAGGGGAGACTATCTTGTCCCTGTCTCCTCTTCCCCAGGCAGATACTGACAGAATAGAAGAGGAAGCAGCTATGATAGAAGCAGAAACAATCAGAAATCCAGTGCAGGCCACTTCAGGAGAGTTTTACTGACAAGATGATTCAGACCACACACACCAAGTGGCAGGGGGCCATTTCCCCCTAAATCCCTCTAACCTGAGATGTTTCCAACAACTTGAGGATCCACTGAATAATTACTTATCATTTGACAACAGTTCTTTTCTGGAGGATCCTAAGGCCTCTCCCCTCATAACCCAAGTCATTCTTGCATTGCCCTTCTTGAAAATCCTTTTCCAGGTGTTCTTTGAAGCCATTACTCTGAGCAGGTGGTTGTTTGGACTAACACATACCTCTTACGACACTAAACCAGAAAATCGACACCATCGTAAGACACAGAAACTAAGCCTAAGAGGAAAAATGTATGTCTTCATCAGGCCAGTGGTCGAAACGTCCCAATATAACCTTTAACTTGGGATTACTCTGGCAACCACTTTTTTTATTATTATTTATTTATTTTTATTTTAGAAAGAGAAAGAGAGTGCACGGGGGGAGAGGGACAGGGGGAGGGAGAGAGAATCCCAAGCAGGCTCCACGCTCTCACCTCTCACCGACAGGGGGCTCAATCCCATGACCCTGGGGTCATAACCTGAGCCAAAATCAAGAGTCAGATGCTTAACAGACTGAGCCATCTAGGAGCCCCTGACAACCCCTTTTTTTTTTTTTTAATATTTTTTAACGTTTATTTATTTTTGAGAGACAGAGCACGAGCAGGGGAGGGGCAGAGAGAGAGAAGGAAACACAGAATCCGAAGCAGGGTCCAGGCTCTGAGCTGTCAGCACAGAGCTCTACATGGGGCTCGAACCCCACCATATCATCATGACCTGAGCTGAAGTCAGATGCTTAACCAACTGAGCCACCCATGCACCCCTCCTGACAACCACTTTTTAAGCTGCATTTATATCTTCATTATAACTTCAATGTTTAGCACACAAATTCTAGATTCAGACAAAATATGTACTTTTCCTAAATCTTATGAATCCCAAACTTAAGCCCTCTTCAGAGAGAGGGCTTTTTTCTAGAATTATGTATCCTCTGGGAAAACTTGATCACAATTTCACTTGAACCTCAGCCCAATTTTGAGATCTGTCTCCTCCTGTCAGCACCCCCACACCTATTCCTCTGCCTGTTCCTGAAAAAGCAGAAAGTACTAGAAATGCAGAATTCTGTCTGAAACAAGCAAGTAATTTCCTACATGTAGCAGCCAAAGCTCAATCATTTGGGCCGTGATTTATTTTTAATCTTCAGACCAAGAGTAGGATTTGGAAAACAAAGGTATTTTGTAAAAAAAATAACAATAATAATTTCTTGTACTTTAACCTTCTAATCTTTGTTTAAACTACCTAGAAAAGGTTTCATAACTAATAAACCAAAGAGAACAGTCTAATCTAAATGTTCTTACCATGTGAGGGGGGAAAAATGTGAGTAGTCTTAAACACTAGCTAGAATAAGTATCTAGGACATATGTCCAGAAGTACAGTTTTGTTGCTTTTTATCTTGAGTCTATCTTCAGCGTCACCAACTATTTTGGGCGGAATCCTTTCAAAATTTAGCCGAGAGCAGCAAGCACAGTAGGGAATCAAAAACAAATATGTTGACTATGAAAACTATAGAGATTGGAATATCATGACGGTGCCAGATTTTCCATCGTACAAGCTTCAGAAAACTCAGTAACCAAGAGGAAGCCAAAATATCTTCAAAATTTGATTCATTCTCAGCACACGTTCAAAAAGACCCTTGAACAGGTGAATTTAAGAGTAGCCTAGTTAGGTAAAGAAGTACGACGAGCTAGCTTCACTTTGTTTGTCAGCTTATTTCTTCCTTTAACAAATACTGGACGTTAATAATGAAGCTAGACTTTTTGTGAAATTTCTGATTCCTCATTCAGTACGCTGTTTTTAAGACAAAGGGGCCACCGGTATGTATATCAGAACAGGGTGAATGAAGAGTAAGGCAGACAAGAAAGGATACAAAAATCCCCATTTCTTTCTTTTCCTCCTCCTGTTTCCCTTTCAGACTGAGTTGGTTTTGTTTCCCTCTAAGATTTCAGATCATCAGTTTGACAAAGATTATTGTTTAAATTAAAAAAAAAAAAAGATTATTGTTTAAATTAATGGCAACACAAACTCCAACAGAGTGCTATCTTACCGCCTTGTCTAGAGATTGTGTTCTATGCCACTGACAACCTTTCACCTTTTAGAATCGAATCGGCACCTGCACTCTTGATCTAAGTGCAGCTGTGCTTAAAACTGCGGCAACCTCTTCATGTTTGTGTGGCCAACCCTTTGCCTGAAAAATGTGTGTGACTCCAGCATTAAAACCTAAAGAACCCATTTCTAATCTGCATTCCTGCTAAAGACAACGGAGTGAGTCATTCAGATGCCACTAGAAAGTAATTGCTTGATTTTTCCGTACAAACCAGTATGGCCTGTAAGTACCTGGAAGACACTATCTTTCCATCATTTTGATAAGCCTCAAGGAAGAAGCCACATCCTCAAATGCCTTGGGACTGAACCTAAGAGTGGATGGACTCTTAACTTATTTAAAACAATGAATCATTTATTTGAAAAATTCCACGTCATTTATTTTAACTGATTTCTTAAATATCCGGTGACTGGTGATTTGTCAGCTGTCATAATTCATCAGCCCTACACTTTTACGCAGAATGAATTTGTAATTTTAAACAACCAAGCCTCTACTCAGTGCTACCTTTGGAGGTAAACTACTGCAGGAAGACAGTCCCACACTTCTCCCCCCCCCCATCTTAACACTTCAATGAGACAGATGCCCATCATGAATATTTCCTCAATCTCAAGTTAAGAATCAGAATCTAAAAGTCACCTGTACCACTGGATGGCCCAAGCTGTGTTTTCAAGGATGAAAAAAAAAAAAATCTGTTTCTTGTATGAAAAAGGTTTCTTCAAAGGTTCCATCAGAAGAAACATGATGGGGCAGTATGATTTTTCTGCTTTTCCAGAAGCTGGCACTTTTAAAATCTTTTTATAAACCGTTTCTTTCCCACTAAATTTACCAGAGTTGGAAGGAGAGTGGTACTATGAGAGAGATCAGGGCTGAAGAGAGAAGAAAAAGAAAAAGGACAAATTCAAAATCGGGACCCAAATGTAAGATTAAGGGGAGGTAGTTAGAAGGATTGCCAAAAAACCACCTTACCTTTGTTATGTATTTGAGGTCGCCCACTTCAGAAATTAACACCATTCACAGCCCGGTAGCAATTTACACAGCTAGGAAGTAACCTACCACATCTTCTCGGTCTCCCTCTTTTTAATGTAAAACCAAAATAAGGAGTGTCCAGCTACTCCCCACTGCGCCGCTTAAAGCAACAGATCGTTTTAGGCTTAACTCCCAGACTCTGGGAATTCCAGTTTGTCAGAATTTCTTAACCTTGGAAACCTGCGGAGAAACTCTCAACGAGGACAACTCCCTCAGCCCCGGCTTCTCACTGTCCCAAACTGCACATTCCAAAGTGGGAAGCAGAAGCGATAACCAGAAGGCAGCTCTCGGGGGCTAAATTCCTGGCGGGAGCGAGAGAACTTGAAAGCGCGGCGATTCCACTGGCCGAGCGGCGCCGGGTCCGCACCCGGGGGAGACGAGCGGCCCCGGCAGCCAGCCTGCGTCCGGCGCTGCGCGCGGGGAGCGCCCGGTGTCTGCTCTCCGAGCTTTTCCCCGCTCCCTCCTCCCTCCTCCCGCAGCCCTCCCCCAGCCGAGGCCATTCGCCTCACAGTAGCAAGGTTGTCTCTCGTCTACTCCCTTCCCTTAAACTCACCAAACCAGATTTTTACTCCCGGCACCGGCAACTTCCCGTAAATCTGCACTGAAATTTTATCCAGCTCGCTGAGCCACCGCTGGCTAAAGGCCAGTGCAACATTCCTGTTGTTTTAGGAGCGCGGATACCTTTGCTGAAGGTTAAAAAAAAAAAAAAAAGAATCTGCCCGCATGGGAGAGATTTCGGGGCTCCACCAGACTTCTCTCCGCGCTCAAAAAGTCACATCCGTGTCAGACATCCAGAAACGGCCCCGCAAGTAGCACCTGCTCCACCTGGGGACGTGTGTCCTCAGACGTCTGACCCCCTTTGGGTTGTTCGGGGAAACCAAGCAGAACCATGTTTGAGGAATAAGGAACCTGCTGTTGACTCACGAGACGAACAGTACCACCCGCCCCCGTTCTTCCCCCTGGTAAAGAAGTCGTTTAACCGGGTAGGATCAGAGCGAGACCCGCGGCGGGCCTAAAGGAAGGGGGGACCTCCCAGAGTGTCCTTACCTGGGGCACAGCACCGCTTGGACGCGCGCAAGAAGGAACGTCACGCGGACGAAACCCTGACCTTTGCCGGGGCCTTCGCAGCAGGGCCTGGGGCCTGGGCGCTGCTCGTTCAGAAGTGGCTCATTTTAATGCGCTCTGACCTAAAGTTACAGCTGGTTTCTAGAAAGGGAACAAAAAACACTGCATTTAAAAACAGCAGCCAAGCCCTCCCTTAACCTTGCCTGATCTCCGGGGAGTTGGCTCTAACCCCCACCCCATCCCCATCCCCGAGAAACCCGCAATCTGTGCCCCACCCCTTCGCATTACCTGTTTATACAAGAGTTAAGGAGCCTCACGCATTTCAATAGAGCGCTAAGCCTGTTTGTAGGCGCGTAACCGGCCAACAGGAATCGAATTCTGTGACTAAACAAACTAGAAGAGGAAGCAGGCACCACCAGGAACCTAAAACGGAGTTGTGATTTCGGGTGCAGTGTCACCGACTTAGAAGAAAAAAAAAAAAAGTACTGTTTCTCATTGGGCTATTTTAGTGAAGCACTAATCCAAAAAAAGGGTTTTGTTTTTTGTTTTTTCGGGTTTCTTGCTGGTTAAATGAATTAATACATAGGAAGAGCTTAGAACGGTGCCTGGCACATAGCAGCTATTAGCAGTAGTACTGGTAGTAGTTTTGTACTCTGGCTTTTTTCAAGGGCATGATCAGAGTTAGAAGTTGGCTCTAGATGCAGTCCTGCTATTCACAAGCCGTAGGGCCATGAGCAGGTTGATATTTTTTTTTAAACTACTCCCAGCTTCTGGAAGATTCCAGCGATGAGATTTTTGCTTGGTTTACCGTTGTAGACAGTCTTGCATAGAATGGAAAGTAAAGTTCCTGTAAAGGCGTGTCCAACTGATTTTCATCTCACTTAAAAGTTGCAAGATTGACAAAATACATGGAGATAAATTGGCCTGTGCATTCCATGACGTTCACTAGTAGAAAACTCAGGACCAGCAATCAACCCTAGATGTGTGCTTCATTCTAATTTGAATTTAGGCACTTGATTTGCTGTCTGACCCTGGGAAAGTTACTTATCCTATTCAGTTAGAAGCTGCTGCTGGCCAAATAATAGTCTTTGCCATTTGAAAAACAGTGTGAAATAGGGGGAAATAATTTTTAAACTCCTCATAAATATTAAAAAGGGATTATTGAAGGCTAAAAAAATGTGATCAGTGCCAACAGGACACCCTTTTTCCTCCACTTAGCTTCACCTTGAAAGAAAGAAATCTCAATCCCTTTTACATTAATGAGGCCCTTTGTACTTTACCAAACACTTTTGCCCACTTCATCTTATCTGACCCTACAAATAAACCCTGTGAGCTACTTTATTATCCCCATTTTGCAGATGAAGACACTCAGGCCAATTAGTTCAAGGTTTCACTGCCTAGTGAGGCTGGGGACTAGTTCCCAGTCCTAGTTAAATCTAAAAGCAGCATTTGCCACCTTTAGGAAAAGTGATTCCAAAAACCAGCAAAAAATTCTGAAACATTTTAGATCCTTTGGGTATTGTATCTTCCCTATGGGGTAAGATTTAACTCCAGTCAAGTAAACACTTACTGGGTTATAGGGAAGCTGGGGTGACTCAGTCGGTTGGTTAAGTGTCTGACTTTGGCTCAGGGCGTGATCTCACAGTTCATGAGTTCGAGCCCCAAGTCAGGCTCTGGAATGACAGATCAGAGCCTGGAGCCTGCTTTGGATTCTGTGTCTGCCTCTCTCTCTCTCTCTCTCTCTCTGCCTCTTCCACCCCAAAATAAATAAACATTAAAAAAAATTTTAACATTTTCTGGGTTTTAGATTTATACCTCGTCAATACAGGTGAGAATGAACTCTCAACAGCAGGCAGTGAGACTACTCCAGGGCTCTCTTACCACATCTCAGGGCTGACGCTGCCGGGCATGAACAAGGGCTCCACAACCTTAAGACACATGTAAAAACTCCAGCTCTACATTAGCCTGGATTTTTCTTTTCTTTTCCAGAAATATCTGGAATGCGGTCTCAAGAACCTTTCACTGTCAGGGATGGTTTGAGTTAAAGGATTCAAGGGAGGATATTCTCAGGCTTACTGATTTTTCCACCTGAAAACACGATTTTCCATTGGAAGCACTGGGCCAAAGCCTGGGGAATAAGGACCAGGAAGAATACCAGCGAGTGGGCAGGTGTGGAGGTCACGGACTCAGGGTGAACTGGGGCTGGGGTCAGAAAGGATGCTCTTTAGGAGGCCCAAGTCCCTGGAAACAAGTCCTTATGGCAGCTCTGAGTCCATTACTTGCTCTGAAATGTGGCCTGGCACTTCTGCTTCTTCTTTCTCAGTTTTGCCCACAGCCACTATTAAACGGTTATAATATTTGTTTCTAACTCCTTTCCACTGTCCTCCCCAGGAATATGTGAAAATAAAACTAACTTTTAAGCAGCAGGCCATAACAAAAGAAATAGCAGCTCTCTTATCATTTCTTCTTTGTGGCTGAGCCTTGATGCCTATCATCATCATTATTATTTTCATTCTGAGGAAAATCCCATGATCCTGGGGTGTTTTGGGTTTGCAGACCCCTGTGTTTAGCTTTCTGTTTCCTTCTTTGCCTTCCGCCTATAAGGCAGTGTGCTAGAGTGAGCGCACACAGTGTAGAGTTGGGTATCCCACAGATGTGAGTTTGAATCCCAGTTTTATTTCAGCTGTGTAATGCTAGGCAAATTGCTTAACCACTCTGAGCTTCGCAGCGTCTTCATTTATGAAGCAACAGCACTTACCTCTACAGATTTCTTTGAGAGTTAAATGAGAAATGAAATCTCAGCACAATTCCTGGCACATGGAAGGTACTCAAAAAAAAGGTATTTCCTTTTGTACCCACAGAAAACCTACTCCACAGATCACAAAGAATCTTCCTTCCCATATTTTTTTTTTTTAAATGTTTTTTATTTATTTCTAGGAGAGAGACAGCGTGAGCAGGGGAGGGTCAGGGAGAGAGGGAGACACAGACTGAAATAGGCCCCAGGCTCTGAGCTGGCAGTCAGCACAGAGCCCGACGCGGGGCTCGAGCCCACGAACCGTGAGATCATGACCCAAGCGAAAGTCGGACGCTTAACCGACTAAGCCACCCAGGCGCCCCTCTTCCTTCCCATATTTAAATCTTAGATCAAATAACACTATATCAAGACATCTTCAAGGCAAACCGAAGGGATAATAACAACCATTCATCTCCATAGCACATCCAGTGATGCATTAGCATCTTTGACCATCACGACTGTGTGAGATAAGTAAACTACAAAGCATTTGTATTGCCCTATTGCTCACATTAGGAAACTGAGGTTCTTTTTTTGGGGGTTTTTTTTTTTTTTTGTTTTTTATTATTTCTGAGAGAGAGAGACAGCGTGAGCAGGGGAGGGTCAGAGAGAGAGGGAGACACAGAATCTGAAACAGGCTCCAGGCTCTGAGCTAGCTGCCAGCGCAGAGCCCGACACGGGGCTCGAACCCACGAACTGTGAGATCATGACCTGAGCTGAAGTCAGACGCTTAACCGACTGAGCCACTCAGGCACCCCTTTAATGTTTCTTTTTGAGAGAGACAGAGCACAAGTAGGGTGCGGCAGAGAGAGAGGGAGGCACAGAATCTGAAGCAGACTCCAGGCTCTGAGCTGTCAGCACAGAGCTTGATGCAGGCCTCAAATTCCCCAACTGCAAGATCATGACCTCACCAAAGTTGAATGCTCAAAAGACTGAGCCACCCAGGAGCCCCAGGAAACTGAGGTTCTTTTTTTTTTTTTTTAACGTCTTTTAATTTATTTTTGAGAGAGAGAGAGAGACAGCGCGAGTAGGGGAGGTACAGAGAGAGAGGGACACAGAATCCGAAGCAGACTCCAGGCTCTGAGCTGTCAGCACAGAGCCCGACGCAGGGCTCCAACTCATGCGCTGTGAGATCATGACCTGAGCCAAAGTTGGACGCTCAACCGACTGAGCCACCCAGGTGCCCCAAGGACCTTAAGAGTTGTTTCAAGTTGCTAGCAGGTAGCAGAGTTAGGAATTTTACTGCTTTTCACTATTCCCTACTACAAGAATTCTGATTACATTATTCTTATACCCAGTAAGGAGCAGAATCAAGGAAGAAGTTCCAGAAGACGGTTTTAGCTCACAGTTATGGGGAGAGGGCCAGGAGATTCTGACAAGAGGTTCTGGACACTGCTCATTTTGGAGGCATCGAAACCCATAAAGATTCCCATCAAAGATCTGTGTCCTACGAAAGTGAGTATGCTGACTCTACAGACTCCAATTCTGTAACACACAGAAGGGCAGCAACGTAAAGAGGTTGGGCTTGAAGTCTGCGATTGATCGAAGTCTGTGTCCTGGCAGTTATGTGCTCCTGGGCAAGTTACCTGTCTCCCTATATCTCAGGTTGCCGCTGATATCAATGCCTAACTATAGGGCCATCTTGAGGATTAAATGAGATGATACACATAAAAGCACAGCGCTGGACAATGTTCTTCAGTTTTCCATATGTGCTTCTTTTGTGTTTTTTTTTTTAATGTTTTTTTATTTATTTCTAGGAGAGAGAGAGAGAGACAGCGTGAGCAGGGGAGGGTCAGAGAGAGAGGGAGTCACAGACTGAAACAGGCTCCAGGCTCTGAGCTGGCAGTCAGCACAGAGCCCGACGCGGGGCTCGAACCCACGAACCGCGAGATCATGACCTAAGCTTAACCGACTAAGCCACCCAGGCGCCCCAGTGCTTCTTTTGTTTTATGTTTATTTATTTATTTTGAGAGAGAGGGCGAGCGTGTGGGGGAGGGGCAGCGAGAGAGGGTGAGAAAGATAGAGTCTCTAGCAGGCTCCGTGTCTTGAGCGCAAAGCCCGATGCGGGACTCAGTCTCACAAACCATGAGATCATGACCTGAGTCAAAATCAAGAGTTGGACACTTGACCGGCTGAGCCACCCAGTCGCCCCTGACAACGTGTTTCTTAAAGACTGAAGACTGTACTAAAACAGTACAGGAGAGGCCTGAATAATGCATGGAATAAATAAAAAGAGCTTAGAATAATGCCTGGCATGTAGTGATTGCTGTCTTTGCTGATTTAAGTCTTTGCTGTTATTGCTATTATTTTTTTAAATATTTGTTTATTTTTGAGAGAGAGAAAGACAGAGTGCAAGCACAGAAGGGACAGACAGACAGAGGGAGACACAGAATGTGAAGCAGGCTCCAGGCTCTGAGCTGTCAGCACAGAGCCCGATGTGGGGCTTGAACTCATGGATCATGAGATCATGACCTGAGTCGAAGTCAGATGCTTAATTAACCTGAGCCACCCAGGCTATTATTATTGCTGTTATTGCTATTATTATTACTATTATTATTGTTTCTTCACAAAGCAATTCCT